GAAATACGTGGAAGAACTAGCAACGACGGCAGAAAAAGCTGCTAGAGAAGGAAATATGAAACAGCTTCACGATACAACGAAGAAACTAGCAGGGAAATACAGTAAACCAGAGAGGCCGGTCAAAGACAAAGAAGGCAAGCCAATCACCGAAATTCAACAACAGCGTAACAGATGGGTAGAATACTTCGAGGAACTCCTGAATAGGCCGGCTCCAATGAATCCACCGGACATCGAAGCAGCACACATAGATCTTCCTATAGATGTCAACCCACCAACGACGGAAGAAATTAGAATGGCCGTCAGACAAATCAAGAACGGGAAAGCAGCAGGACCCGACAACATACCAGCTGAAGCACTGAAATCAGACATCGAAGCAACCACAAGCATGCTATACCTTCTATTCAAAAAGATTTGGGAGGAGGAACAAGTGCCGATGGACTGGAAAGAAGGACACCTCGTCAAGATTCCAAAGAAAGGAGATCTGAGCAAATGTGAAAACTACAGAGGCATTACACTACTGTCAATACCAGGGAAAGTCTTCAACAGAGTGTTGCTGAACCGGATGAAGGATGCAGTAGACGCCCAACTTCGAGATCAACAAGCTGGATTCCGTAAGGATCGGTCGTGCACAGACCAAATTGCAACACTACGGATCATCGTCGAACAATCAGTTGAGTGGAACTCATCACTATACATCAACTTCATTGATTATGAAAAGGCATTCGACAGTGTAGATAGGAGGACATTATGGAAACTTCTTCGACACTACGGAGTTCCTGAGAAGATTGTCAACATTATCCGGAACTCATACGACGGACTACAGTGCAAAGTAGTGCATGGAGGACAGCTGACAGATGCATTCCAAGTAAGGACTGGAGTCAGACAAGGCTGTTTACTCTCTCCCTTCCTCTTTCTTCTGGTGGTCGACTGGATTATGAAGACCTCGACATCTGAAGGAAAACACGGAATACAATGGACAGCTCAGAATCAATTAGACGATTTGGACTTCGCAGACGACCTAGCCCTCCTATCACGTACACACGAACAGATGCAGATGAAGACAGCCAGTGTAGCAGCAGTCTCTGCATCAGTAGGCCTCAGCATACACAAAGGGAAAACCAAGGTCCTCAAATTCAAAGCGGAGAACAGCAATCCAATCACTCTTGATGGCGAAACTCTGGAAGATGTAGAGTCCTTCACATACCTAGGAAGCATCATCGATGAACAAGGAGGTTCAGATGCAGACGTAAAGGCGAGGATCGGCAAAGCAAGGGTCGCATTCCTACAATTGAAGAACATATGGAACTCAAAACAACTTTCAACCAATATCAAAGTGAGAATCTTCAATACGAACGTCAAGGCAGTTCTACTGTATGGAGCTGAAACTTGGAGAACTACAACAACCACAATCAAGAAAGTACAAGTATTTATAAATAGCTGTCTACGCAAGATACTCAACATCCACTGGCCGGATACCATCAGCAATAGCCTTCTGTGGGAGAGAACAAACCAACTTCCAGCTGAAGAAGAAATTAGGAAAAGACGATGGAAATGGATAGGACATACATTACGCAAATCGTCAAACTGCATCACGAGGCAAGCCCTAACTTGGAATCCTGAAGGGAAGCGAAAAAGAGGAAGGCCAAAGAACACATTGCGTCGGATAATAGAAGCAGATATGAAAAGGATGAATTACAACTGGACGGAGCTAGAAAGGATTGCCCAGGACAGGGTTGGATGGAGAATGCTGGTGAGTGGCCTATGCTCCTTCACGAGGAGTAACAGGCGTAAGTAAGTACAATACCCACCAACATACTTTTAATATCTATTGCGTACAAGTTTAATTTACACTATTTCAGTTTTTGTTATTCAAATCACTTAGAGGACCATCTCCGTTAATACTTCTGTCCTGTCTAAACGGTTTCTCAGTCAGTCATATCCAAAGTAGAACCTGGCACATGTGTACCTGGGTTTAAGTTGCCTTACCCTATTAGCACAGCGAGAAACTGTTAGGACCAATCACAGTGGTAACGGTACTAACATTATTAGTGACAGCAGACAAGATTAGGTAACGAAGATTCAGTTTGAAGAAAAATTAGTGGGATGAAAGAAATCTGCATAGTTATTTAGAAACTTGAGATCTAAAAGTGAATCGGTGGATATATTTGTGCCAATGTGAACGACTCTGACCCTTCAGTCTCTAACCATCGGTCACGATGATCGCGTGGACCCTAAACACCAAGATGTCTCAGTTCAGTTGTGAACGTCTTCATGAACCGATACTACATCTTGGTTTGATTACCATTAGCTTTTTTCAGCCTATTCCTACACCGAACAACTTTGCCCATTGTGATAGGTGAATTGATATAATGCATATCCCAAGAATTTCAGTCGAAAAAATTCAACCGATTCATCAATCATTTCATTATATTACTTAGTACCCTGAGTCTAAACTCAGAACAGCTAACTCGATGGTCCGAAAGAACAAATGAATGACTACTAATAACCTACGAATAGAATGGAGCGAACTGGTCCACGTTATACTTGTTCTTTAGTTGGCAGACGGACATCTCGCCGACAACAGAAGTGACACCTTGACAACAAGCTTCCGTCAGACAAAATCCCCCAAGGACTAAAAAAAACAATCCCAAGATGAGAGAAGCACCCAAAATTTCCATATCACTAGTTCCAAAGGCGATGTATATCAGTAATGAAGCATTATTTTGTATTAAGTGTGAGATAATCTCATACCAAACATGCTTGAATTGTTGCTGAAGATGGTCATAAGATTGCATTGTCAGTATCTTCATCAACCAAGAATATATAATCCAAGAAGTCAAAGTCGATAAGCGAAAAGTTGGACGTCATTTTTAGGACAATATCTATGACAAAATCAAGAAAAAATGAGGAAAGTGGACAACTCTGATGAAAATCACTTAATATTTTCAAGTTCTGATAACACTGTCATGATTTCCAATTCGAACACTAGTGTTAAAATAGAGTCTGCACACGACTAACCTAATTCTTCAGTACGCCATTCAGTGACAAACACTTCCACAGAATCTCTCAATCAACAAAGATGAATGCTGTCTTCAGAACGAGAGAAACAACCGTAATTAAAAGTCGGTAGACATATCTGTGTTCCAGAATCTGACAGGAAACAGTGAACAGTTGGTCTATTCAGGCAAACATTTGACACAATTGTAGTCTAGCTAATTTCTCAGTGGTTATCGTAACAGGAATTGTGTCATTCCTAATACACTGGAATGATCTGTGATCGAGACCAGTCTGGTGAGATTACGTTCACTTTCCATATTCTTGCTAATATTACAGTCAATGTATCAGGTGAAATTGGACCAATATCGTTGAGTATTTGTGGGGTAAACGTATCAGGATCTGTTGTTGTCGATCGCTTCAGATTATCTATGGCTTTCTCAACTTCAAGATTCAGTAACTTAGGTTTACATTCCAATAACGTTGTTTGGTAAATGTAGGAAACTAAAGAGCAGATAAACTGTTATTTGAAGTGTTACGGCCATCATTTTCAGTAGTTTTCAGCGAAAAATTCTTCCTGAGGTATATTCGTATGACTGCATTCAAATTTACCTTTTTAAGCACACACATTGCTAGGTGTGATTAGAAAGAATATAAAGTACGAGAATATGAAAGTGAATATTGATCTTAATTTATAAGTTTTCTCATTTAATTTAGGAATATTTTACCCACATACTTTCCTTTATTTTCAGACACCAAACTAACTCATCAAGCGGGTTTAACCCAGAGGAAAGCCTCAATAGCCTTTAAGTTTACAAACATAATCATTTACTAGTATTTTTATAACTGCAAGCCTATTTTTCAACCCAAATGATTTTGCATCATCTTGGAATTTTCTATTTTTTCTACATTTCACAGAAAGAACAAAGTGTTTTTATGTGGTGACTACTCACGAATAAAACTGCACTCGAATTACACGAAATAGATGACAATTCTTCTTTTAAAATGGAATTAAAAGAATGATGTGAATTATTCTGTTAAACTTATGCTGAAACTAATTAGTTACCTAAAATACGGTTCACTATTTGAAAATGATTTAGCAGCAATTTTATATAATCATGATCGTACAAATATAGCTAGATAGCAAAAATAATCTAAACAGATACCGAGTTAAAACATTATATTAGAGGGTTTTATTAAAGTACATAGATGCAAAGAAAAGGAAAAAATGGGTTCAGGCAATTGGAAACAAGAAGCCTAATTATTTGTTTTCCTAAAACTTAACAAACTTAAATAAGAGAAAAATAGAAGAAATAAAACAAACAAAATGGAGGACAATAAACTTATGATTTACAAAGTAATCTATTACATAGATGAATGGATAAAATTCAACAAATAGCTTACAAAGGTTTTATACTTCAATCTTTATAAATAGATTGAAGTCTATTACTACTTGTTGTACTACAATTATAAATAAGAAAAGCAAAAAGCAATGATGTGATCTTTTGCACATAGACAACCTAAAACAGATCAGTCAGCTGTGGACAAGTTTTTTTTAAAAAAAGGCAAAAATAACAATTGTACACATGATGTAGGTACATAGTAAAAAAGTGATATTAAACTTACCTGATAGAAGGCGCATAAATGATATTTATAAACAATGTTGTACAATATAGAGAGAATTATAGTTTAAAACATTCTGAGGTCTAAATGTTAGGTAAGTGGCAATGGATACGTACAAAAATTTTAAACAAATATTAAAAGTCACCTGATGTGTATTAAATTGTTAAAACAATAACCATGACTATTGTATTCAGAATTTAATAGTAGACATTACAAAGTGAGAAAAAAGAATTGGATAAAAAGCAATCAGTTACAGTGCATCAACTAAAAAATATGCAGTAAACTACCGACAAAGGATTTAAAAGTAAACAGGAAATAGATTAGTTAAAATAAACGTTTGAAATCTTGAAGTAAAAAAGGAGAAATATCTTAGTCCCAGCAACTTATACACGTTTGGTTGCTGCTGGTCTCACTGAGTTGCATCCAGATGGTTGTGGAAAATAAGAAAAGAAATGTCGGGTTGGTTTTAAGTCATTAAGAGGCATAGCCTGGAGAACTTCATCCAGCAATTGTAGAGGTCTGAAAAAAAAGTGGAAACAACACAGAAAACGGAAGAGACCATAAGTAGTTGACAACTATTAGCGATATAAAGTAAAACAGAATTTTCAAGGTAGGTTTACATAGATTTATGGTTTTTATGATATTTTGGTGGTATCTCTGAAATTTACAACAAAAATCTAATTCTTTCCAGCTTTAGAGGTATTATATTTTACCTAACTACAGTGCATCCACTTAGAATTCTACATATCTGTGTAGTTTCATTCACCATAATTAACAAGACAGTGAACAGTAAAGAGAACAAAGGTTAAAAATCCTTCAAAAAGTGAGGAATATTTCCAGTGTATACTAAGCAAACTACAATTTCAAACCGTCCATTTCAGTTCTCTAAACTAATTTTCAAAATAACATGGGACCATGAATATAGTTAGTTATAACATGGTAGTAATTTGTTCACGCCTATACGGTACTGGTTTATTATTGTAGGAAAATAAATTTTAAAGTCATACCTGTGCAACTGTATTTCAATCCAACAAGGTGTTTCTTTGATGCTACGTCTAGGATAATCTGGTCCCCATCCTTTAACGAAACTCAACCGAAGCATACAAAGACGTCTAAGATCATCCACCCCGACCCCAGCAGTAGCCATAATAGATGCTCCTGTACCTAGTGTACCAGGTAAAGATCCTGGAGCAGATGGTTGGAACCTAGAGGTAGGGCACCAGGTATCTGAGACAATAAATCGCTTGTCGTAGGTGACCCAACAACAGCCGCAGCTTGTCGGACAGCAGCAGCGTGAGAAGACTGAGCAAGGGATTTCATTTCTTCATGACATTGTCTTATATCGAAAACCTAGTATTAGAAGAAAATGAAAACTATACAAGCTAGTATGATCATAGGAAATAAAAATCGAGTAAATATTATATGAAAAATAAGTTACAATAAACTTATAATACCGGAACAATCTTACAACCACTTTTAGATTTAGCTAATATCAGATAAAAAAATACTCGTCATAAGCAAAAAAGTAAATGATTAATATAATTTTCCAAAAAGATTAACTTAAGCAATTACTGCTGTCCTGAAGTTTTAGTGAAGTTGCAACCAAAGAATTCCACTCATAAATACAACCAAGTGCGTATCGTTAAAAAGAAGCGCGTGTTTGATATTGTAGCCAATAAACATTACTCAGAGGAAATTTTATTAAATTAGGATGAGAACCAGTTGATATAATAAATTCCACATATCGCACCATTTAAAACTGACATCATACCTTGATATAAGCGCCAGGATATATTTTATGGACAGCGTCACCAGGTGCACGGCCAGCCTCTCTATCCAAATAATAGCTTTGTACGAATACAGAGAACTCTGAAAGACAGCGAATCCAAACATCACCTTCTCCAACGTTATCTAGTTCTACACCTTTGCCAATATAAAGTCTCGACTTTTCGGATTGCTCCGACCTGTTTAAAATAATACCCAGTTTTATTCATTTAGTAGCACACCAAAGATTAACCTATCAAACCACAAGATATCCGCCGAAATAACAGTCAAGAACCGCTTTGTTAAACATTGAAAATTCACTTCTATTGCTTATGTGAGTGTTACCGAATATTCCGTACAATCTAGTCAGTAACGTAAGGTAATGTTTAAGAAGATATTTCCAAAAATGTGTTCAGAACCAGCAACTAGTGTTAAAAATTAATTCCGATGATAATACATTGGGGCGATTTGTAAAACTTTAGGATGACTTAAATCATAAGCACTGATTGCTATATTTGGTAGTCACCTTCAAAAACCACTCGTACCTAGTTAATAGTTTTAAAGTAAGCCACCTTAAATGGTGTCTTGCAAGATGAGTGTACTGCCTCACCTTACGAAAAACTTGATATAAATAAATATCCAAACAAGTCAGGATTTTGGTGTGCCGTGAATACAAAAACTGAAAGATGAGATTTTACCCATCTAAGTCACAAGACTACTATAATTGATAATCAGCTTTAAAATGACCAATAAACTTGACTACTCATTTATTAAAAATAAACTATCAAATAAAAGCTACAAAAAAGTATGAAATTAATGTTTAAAGAGAGGAATAATTTGTTCGATACCCTTAATGTTGAAAACTGCTTTTGACAGCACAAGATAAAATAAGAAAAGTGGGTTACAAAAGACGGAAAACAAAGGGAATATACGTACATAAGTTGAAATAAAGACATGGGACGATAAACTTTACATTATGGAGTGAAGTGACGACAAGGTCATTACTTACTTACTTACGCCTGTTACTCCCAATGGAGCATAGGCCGCTGACCAGCATTCTCCAACCCACTCTGTCCTGGGCCTTCTTTTCTAGTTCCCTCCAATTCTTGTTCATTTTTCTCATGTCTATTTCCATTTCTCGGCGTAATGTGTTCTTTGGTCTTTCTCTTTTCCTTTGACCTTCAGGATTCCATGTGAGGGCTTGTCTTGTGACGCAGTTGGGTGCTTTCCTCAATGTGTGTCCTATCCACTTCCAGCGCTTCTTCCTGATTTCTTCCTCCGCTGGGATCTGGTTTGTTCTCTCCCACAGTAGGTTGATGCTGATAGTGTCCAGCCAACGGATCTGAAGTATTTTTCGTAGACAACTGTTAATAAACACCTGTATTTTCTAGATGATGGCTTTCGTAGTTCTGCAGGTTTCTGCCCCATACAGTAGAACTGTCTTGACATTTGTATTGAAAATCCTGACCTTGGTGTTGGTTGACAGTTGCTTTGAGTTCCAGATGTTCCTCAGTTGTAAATATGCTGCTCTTGCTTTGCCGATCCACGCCTTCACATCTGCATCAGATCCACCTGTTCATCAATGATGCTGCCCAAATATGTAAAGGTTTTACATCTTCCAAATCTTCTCCGTCAATTGTGATTGGATTGGTGCATTCTGTGTTGTATCGGAGAATACTGCTTTTCCCTTTGTGTATATTGAGACCTACTGCTGCTGAGGCTGCTGCCACACTGGTCGTCTTCTCCTGCATCTGTTGTTGCGTTTGGGATAGAAGAGCCAGATCATCTGCGAAGTCTAGATCGTCCAACTGCATCCTAGATGTCCATTGTATCCCGTGATTCCCTGCAGCTGTTGACGTCTTCATGATCCAGTCGATCACCAGGAGAAAGAGGTCATTACACTTACAGAAATCATCCCAGTAATGTGATATTGATATTAGAGTGATGTGGAGTCAAGTATCAGTAGTGTAACTAAGTAACCAAGTGTAGACCAATATACCTGACTTTGAACTACACTTGTGTAAGATCGAATAATACTACGAAGTTACCCAAATTGAAAAACAAGATTTCGACTGAAAATCTAATGTATGAAACTCGAATAGTATCAACATTCGGAAATAACTCCGAGCTATTTGTCAAGGACAGGGCGGAACAACATGGATATTTCGGTTAATACATTTTTCCTTCAGTTTTTACTAGGAATTTTCGAAATACTACTAATAAAATAGTGGAAACAGGTCGATAAGACAATAAAATTGTGTGGCATATTTTCTGATGCTTTATTGTACCAAGCGTTCTTGTCACTATTGAACAAACGTTTATGTCAAACTTAAAATGAGAAATGTTTCGCCAGATCATTGTAATGTGAAATAATAATTTTATCAATACCTTTGTATCCAAAGCGTGAGAGATTAGTCTCTGACATCTGCAGCTACAAAATCTGCTTCAAATTATATCGAACTAGCTTGACTTCTGCACGAAACATACATGTTGCTGGCAGATTTTCCAAAGATATTAGGTCTCCACCATTTTAAGGTATGCAGGAATAAGTGGATTCCTGAAATCCATGGTCAGTCATAATTAACGTAGGAGTCAAGCACAAATGTACATTGGGTTGAGTTATGTGGAGAACAGTTAAGCAACTAGGTAATTATCATATATAAACTCCAATCGATTCCTCAGTTGAGACAGCGACAGGAACATAAAGTTTCAAATTACAAAAACGTTACTATGATTATTATTATTATTTCAACACATAAATATCGGTACAAGAGGGCACCAAGTATATATGCGCCACACCATATTTGTGTGTGTGGGCTGTGATACTGCCCGGGTGCCCAGACCGAAGCAGGTGGTTTTCTTAGGGGGTCACCCCCCGAGCCTTTGACCTAAAGGTCTGATCCACAAGGCAGTAGAACATCGTGAGGAGATGCATACCCATGGTAGTCGGTGACAAGTGATTGGTTCATATGCCATTTATTCCCGCAGGATACTGGAGCCCATGTGCACCATTGGTTTGGGATCCGGTTAAAGCGCCGGACATTCGCTTCTCGTCCTCTCATTTTCGTAAACAACACCCCCGCCACGAGAAGGCAATGAGTAGGACTTCCCTGGCAGAGGCTGTATACGCGTGGCCGTGTGAGAGCATTTCGAGAGGGAGGGCGAACCCACCCCACTCTCGGCCATATCAGGGCATTTGGGGGTAAACGTTACTATATCCCATTGCGATTACAACCACGATAGTGTAATGAACTTCAGTTAGAAAACCGGTGGTATGAGGAAATGATTAATCAATATTTCCATGAGTTACATCTGCTGATAAGTTTGCAACAATATGGAATCACTATCAGATATGTACGGAACAGTATTTTAGTGATCAAAATAACCAACTTTAAAACCTTTGCTCGGGATAACCGAATATGATCATTAGCAACCACTTGTGGAAAATTGCTCTTATTTCAGTGCATGGACTTTTACAAGATAATTTAGTTGCACTGAAATATTAGAGCTGTTAAGTATTAGCCTTGGAAAGTAAACAAAAAGAATCCGATTAAGTCCTCTAATGACTAAGTGAACTAGTTGTTCAACGAAAGTGAGGAACTGAACTTACCGGTGTACATTTGATAGTTGTCCGAGACAAAAACGATTTGGACTAGAAGGATCCGTGTAACCGTCAACTGTGACACGTGAATACTGGCTTGGAACTTTAAACAATTCACCAACCTGTTGGTCCAGTTCAAAGTAAGCAATGTTGCACCAGTATTCAGGAGGACGTTGTGTAGTTAGGACTGGCAACGGCTGCAAATATAGAAAACGAACTAAGTCTCTGTAGTATGTAAACGACAAAACTAAATACAACTTAGTAGCACTACATAACACAATTCTTACTGATTTTACACAAAATTAATTTCTGTAATACGTTAATAGAATGACAGAGATAAACAAATGAATACCTGAAAAGCATGATCTGACTGTTCTCAATCAGTTGAAATTTATAACATTCATAATATCATTAAATTGCCCTCAAATGCCCTGATACGGCTGAGAGTGGAAAGAGTCCTCTCTCCCTCTCCAAATGCTGCCACGTGCATACAATCACTGCCAGGGGAGCCCTACTCGCTGGTGGCAGTGTTATTTGCGGAATCGAGAGGACCAAAAGCGAATGTCCAGCGCTTTAACCGGGTTGGTGGACACAGAGTCTACCTAAGGGAGTTGGAAAATTCTGATTTAAAACCAATGGTGCACATGGACTCTAGTATCCTGAAGGAACAAATGGCGTGTGCACCAATCGTTAGTCACCGGCTACTATGGGACTGTATCTCCTTACGTTGCTCCACTGCCTTATGGATCAGACCTTTAGGTTGAAGGCTTCGTGTGTGGCCCCCTAAGAAAATCACATGCTTCGGTTTGGGCGCCCGAGCAGTATCCCAGCTCTCACACAAATCGAATGATTTATGTGGCGCATATCTATTTGGTGCCTCCTTGTACCAATGTTTATGTGTTTAAATAAATAATTTTTTAGTATCATTAAATTAAATAGTCCTATAATCAACATCTAAACGATGAGTCGTTACACCAGAAATGTCCCAAGTTTCACAGTTAACGGAGATTCTGAAACTGACTAATTACTATGAAAATTTGATCAGTTACAAAAACTTTAGATCAGGATTACTATCGTAGTTATTTTGTCACAAAACAGTCCACAGATGTACTTTCCCGTCGATCGGTTTCGATAATATTAGAACAAGTTGTACATAAGCAACTACCAACTGGTCTTATTTATGAGTAGCTTCTCCATAAATTAATTTTAAATTAAGGCCTTAACTGGTATTACTCAATTCTTTGCTATTTAGAAGCTAAGAATCTAGAAGTAGCAAGCTCAATATTTTAGCAGCATATCCTGGCCTGAACAAGTGAGACCAAATAACCATGAAATATTAGGAGTAGACTGTCAGTACCACCTGCAAAGTATAGTCCCCAAAAGTAATTATAACCGTAAGAAACACAACCCTAGCTCACTGATAAGAACATTATAACTACTCCAAACACCCCCATACTTTTTAAAAAAACGAATAAAAGCTTACTTGGAGTAGAGACCCAGAAGGAGTAAATGGTGGGGCAGGGGGACCCCTGCGATTGCCCCACCCACCACCACCAGCTCCAGCCGCACCACCTACTCCACTACATGGTGCACCGCTGCCAAAACCAGATCCTCCAGTACTACAACCACCCGCAGTTCCTGAAGAGCCACCAGGACGTTTATTAGAGCTATTATTTACAGCACCATTAGTGTTGCCTGATAGACAAACTGGAGTTGCGTTTGCGGAATATGCTGTTGGAACGAAACTACTTGTCAAAAGGCTGTTGGTTTGAACTGGCGTAAAAATAATAGGCGGATCGATCGTACACTTAAAAACATCCATCGTCCTAATCGTAGGCAAATTCACAGGGATCACTTTCGAATATCCTGTTACACACGTGTTTTTCGATTCTGTGGAACTGTCTTTCGAGAAGTTAGTAGCAGAATGAATAAATGTATTTGGATGGTTTTGGTTAGCGATACCTGACCAGGCCATAGTGCTCTGTCCTCTATCCAAATGTGGAGCTGGGTTAACTCTTGATATCGAAATGCTTGATGAGAGTGCTGGAGACGAATCGATTTGTGAGTTGGGTAATAAAGGAGTCTGTTCCAAATCACACTCTTGATTTTTTGAGCAACCTGAAAAGAAAGGTAGCTTTATCACTAAACAGGGCTTTATTAACAACGAAGTAGTCTTATAAAAAGCACGAAATCTGAACTGTTCTTATTGAAGAAAAATATGAATATAAGATGTCAAAATATTTGAAAAACAATCTTGAAGTCTCCCGTCAAACGACATAAGACTGATTGATAGAACACAGGCCATTGATTTCAAGCAATGGGAAATCTTACTGGGTCATAAATTCAGAAGCCGGTAGACGAATATATAAAATATTGGACAAGTAGGAACAATAATGCACACAAAAATTGTTTCCAGGAAAATAATAATTTCCTTACTTATCTTTGAAGAAGATCTAGACATAAACCAATCTTTAATTAGGATATTTTAGAAGAATCAGACTGTTTTGTGCTTGAAGATCAAAACAATCTAGCCACGCAAGGGTACAGATGAACCTACCAAGATATTTTCTGATTGCTTTGTAATCCAAGGAAACTCGTCACTAGAGGACGATGAAGCTAGAGTTAGGAGAAAGCGAATGATCAGATAATACTATACTCGGTTTTAAATCGGCCGAGTTTATTTGAATCGAGGGACAATGTGGTAATTGAATCCTACGGTTTGAAATAACTTTGACCTGTTTTCAAAGATAACTATTTTTAACAATAGATTGAGTGGTATCACAAATCACTATACATCAAACTAATTGAGTTTTAGGCTTCACCAGAACTAGTGACATTATTATTGATAATAAACAGTATGTACAACAGATATCTAAAGAAACTATTATAGTTATATGGTTTTTGACAATCTTTGAAATTGAGTAGATTGTGATTTGGTGAATGAACGAAGTCGTCAGGCATTAAAAGTGAATAAATAGAACCCTGACTGCTGCTTACAAAACTGGAATGCGGATTTAAAGCTACGAAAGGACTGAATATCAAAGACAAGACCACCGAAGAATAGATTTTCTAATCTAATGAAATAACATGCTTATATGCAAGTTATTGACAAGAAAACGACGATTAAAGGATATCAGCTTTTTAAGTTATTCATCTGCCAAAAACCTGACTACTGGATTTAACTCCTGCTCATATCACTAATCAAAAGCGATTTTAGCCTTAAACCATTTCACATATTCCAAGATTTTGGTATTATATACAAATATTAACAAGTACATAGCACTACCTGTGTGAGATATATGTTCACCAAGAAGATCTCGAACAGTAAGACGAGGATGAGTGGATAATATGACGGAGGAATTACAATTTTTCCCTTCATTAATAGGATCTCCTGGCAAACATGATCCCATATCAGCTATTTGGGCTCCCTTGAATCCAGAAACTAGGGAGTCCGGACAGTTGGATTCACTTTCTGTGTCGCTACACATGTCTGAAAATAAAGAATAATTACATTATAGTGCGATTAACGAAAATCCCGAGACTAGAAAGAGGGTTTTATTTTAAAAATTTCTGTAAAAGAAAATGTTTGTTTCATGACTGTAGTTATTTTACACTGACTTACAGTGTAGAAAATTATTAAAACTGAGGCTTTACTCTTTGGATGGATAAGAACTGCCTTGCCTTGTATTAAAGGTGGTATCAGACCACAGTTGGAGGTATTGCGAGCATACACTCACTCATCTTCCTTTAAATCTCGAACTGAAATATTCTTGAATATTTATCTTTTTTACTTCATCTTCTCAAACCATGTTTTTAATGTTTAGTTAGTTTAATTCTAAATGCCATTAAATAACTCGAACCTTGCCATTGATCCTGTTAATTTTATCATATCGTGATGTGGTATGGTAACTTTGGCTAATCCACATTTGTATCACGTGGATTATGATCGACTAAATTGTATTTACATCCCCTTCAACCTCATTTAGTCCGAAGAACCAATCAGGGTCCCTTGGCGAAACGTAAGAAATATGGCTTACAGCCGAAAATGTAGTTGTTGTAACCTCTTTTCACACCCAAAAAGAGGTTTAGTATGATACATTTTGATTATTCTTCCTTGATCCTCGTTTGCGAAGGTATTTATTTAGGAAGGAAAATTCCAATTGACACTTAACTGAAGATCCGAGAGATGAAAGTATAACATTAATTCTTCCAGATACAGAATGCCTTTTCCCAATGAATATGAGGATGTTGTATATGCGTTAACCAAAATGAAATGACAAACTACCAAATTGTAGTTGATCAGGATATCTCAATGTACTGACTATCCTAAAGTAAAACTGTGTCTATTTCGTTTAGTGTCTACGGTAAATATTAACGACAGTTGAAGTACTACTAAAGATAAATATCCACTTCTGATACTTTAAGCACCCATCTACCTTTCGCTTATTGCATTGGGTACATTTATGGGACATTCTGCATTTTACATGCAGAGCCCATTAGAAAAATCAGCATATTTGAGTTTGAAATGATACTCCATAATAACATGATACTCTGAAAAATCCGCATATTTCGGTGATCGAGATTCCTGAAGCAGGTACCGAAATAACTAAATCATAGCAGGACGAAATAATCGAGATTTCTAACGTTGCCGTTATAATAAACGGCCTACATAATCTGAAGAGATATGCCAGTTAAACAGTAATGACACTTACAGAAAGTGTTTCTGTGATGATCACTGAGAAATTGCTTTGATTATCAATAGTTAAATTATTGGTCTCAATAATCCTCACAGCTATATCTCAGATGAACCAAAGTTAGCAAAAAAACACTACATTGTTGCCCCTCACTAACGATACAAATCCTTCAGAACACATCCGACTTCAGTCACCGTTTATTTGAGTTAATCAACTGGTGTGTAACAACATATTTCCAACAGAACAATAGAATATACAAACATAAAGGAAAATAACAAGATTACGGAACTAATTGCAGGAGCAATAAAGCAGATGCCGAAAACTTTAGGTGTCAAAATCAGGTCGAATAATCAAATGCGCTACATTTTTCGTAATCGTAAAGGACCGGCTGGAAAGCACTTACAATTTGATCAAGTCATCGACGACATATGATATACATCAGAAACGAAACCAGGCAACAAACTACTATTCTTCGACGTGTTGATCACCATAACTAATGAGAAAAAATCTAAGGCTCGTGTACATCGGAAACCAAACCACGCTAACCGAACTGCCAATTATGACAGAAACGACTAGAGCTGTATAAAAAGCCTGTTCCATAGTAAAACATGATAATGTACCGCCACTACATGAAGAAATGAACAGACATGCCTAATGGGCGAATATTGGAGAAATGGCTACCTATAGAACCTTGTCAAATAATGACCAAACCCAACATAAAATCAACACATAAAATCAGCAAACAGACAATTCTAAGAAATAATACAAGGTAGCCGTGCTACCAGCATCTACGTGAACACCTATGAGCTATTGAATGCTATATATTTTTGCTTATATTCATGCGTGTGGAAAGTTATAAACTGGGAGAACACTGAGATTTCGCAGACCCCAAAACCCGGGAATTTTAAAAACATCAACCGGTTTATACCGAAACCGACCCAACCTACCAACCAAATAGGAAAAGAATACATACAAAACCACAGATCAGACTAGCAAAGACAATCAAAACGAAGATGCAAATAAAAACATAGTTATGATCAAACCGCGGGTCAACAGGAAAAGCTGTTGTTCAAGTGTTGGGAAATCCTAATCGTTTACCTCTTTCTTTCAATGTGAACTGGCGCCGTCTAGGAGGACAGTGAAAGCTTAACTAAACCATCCAGCTAGAAGGATACACCACCTCTGGAACTATAGAACGATTCGCTAAAGCTAGTAAACAACTGATTCACCAAAACCACTGCGAAAGCACACTTGGCAATCAATCAATTATTCACCTTGTCAGACTGTAGAACATAAACATACTTACAAACGCCCGACAATAGCGGTATTTCCTAAAACGAAAGCAGCACTTAACTTTGTTGACCTAGAAGTTGTAACAGTTTGTCATTTGACAAGGTGTATCGAAGATGTACATAGATTGCAGGAACCTCTCTAATTGAACACCACTGGTCAGGTCAAAGCATATGACGAGCTACCCCACTTTGTTATATACATAATTTCACAGGGACGAAAACTGACTTTTCAGATTTCCTTATAGACTAATGGTAGATACAATATGCTTGAACTGTTACAAGACATTTGGTCGGTTTGAAAATGGTTGGTGACCGTTAACACCAGAGCGAATAAATAAGAAACAAAAACGCGTTGACTACCTTACTAATTTTAAAAGTGAAACGCGGACTATGGAAATAAATGATGTTGCAAGTCATCATTATTTGATAATGGATACCCTAAGTGTTTGCGTAAGCTGAAGTCAATGAATGAACAACTAACATTAGGTAGTGTTGGGGATACATGGAAAGCCTAATATCAAGATATTCACTCTCCACCGACCGAGGTGAATGGGATGTTGTGTGTTTAAAATCCCGCCGACATTGACGCTCGATGGCGGGTAGCGAAGTAGGTTGTCTGTTAGGGGGTTAAACTAAAACGAGGCATTGATCTACAAAGCTCTTGAGTGTTGATTTGCATTATATTGGTAGGTATAGATTACCTAGTTGTAATTCATGAAATTATAATGACCATTCATTGGAGACTGGGTGTATCTTATCCGAAGAACTCGCTTTTCTCAAAACATATCTTTTCAAAGTGTTTCGTGTCATTTTCAATTATGTTAATACTAATTTTACGAGTATGGTATTTATCATGAGAAATTAACTGACAGCTTCAACTGATGCACGTGTAAGGTTCTGAGTTACCTGTAACTGGCTAGTTACACGGACAGTTTTGGCTGTATAGTTACACTAGTCTCATGTTGGATACAAAGTCAGTACTAAATCTAAGATCTCTGTGATCATCTAATACATTATTATTACTACACTAGGAAGACTACTGTATGGTTGACATCCAAACTACCAGAGCAAACTCTGATTAAATTGTCTTGAAAACATGGATCGCATAAGATACTTGTGAATAACTAACACGGATTACATATAAAAAAAATTGTATCGGTCAGAAATTACAAAGATTTACCTTCTTTTTCTGGTGTAGGACTAAGGCTCAGAGCAGCCAAGTCAACAGGAGAAACAACTCTTTCATAGTGGTAAGGATTAATACACACGCAATCTTGTTTCAGTTCAAACCCAAATAAACAATGTTTGGAGTGTCTTAATCATTTCGATGCAAATCAGGCCAGCGCCATATTCGTGAATAAATAATGTGAGGTAGACACTTCCGCCCAGCAATCTGAACAACAGCATACAGTGTAATAACAAGCTTCACAATACCTGCATACGTCCGTCCAAAGTTCTTTGTATTGTAACACACTTACTTGGTTGACTGCCACTCGTTGTTATGGCAGTTACCAAGGATTCCAAGTCTTCTTGCCTTTCTTTCAATTTTTTCACAAGACTCTCAATCGCGCGTCTAGCAAACTCTTCAGATTCTCCACTCTGCCGATGACACATAAGGCTGTGAACTATAACTGTCACTAAATCGGGAGAAGCACAATCTAACTGCGAGCTATTGAATGACATGGCGCATTGCTCAGCCCTTAAATCGAGCTGACATGGATTCGGCTTTAAAAAAAAGATATAGGTAAGCATACAAAACAACAAACACTAGTAGGAAAATTTGACAGAAAACTTACAAGCACCAACATGAAGTCAATCTCATCGAAGTTATGTCGCCTAAGAACCCTCGCGCGCTTGCGTATTTTTATTGAAAAGTATAAACAAACATCAGGCCACCATTCTTAACAAAAAATGCAATTTATTATAAATGGCAAATGACATAGCAATTGCTTTATTTGAAAAGGACGGTTTCATTTGTCTTCTGAGTATATTTTTTAGTATGATCATTTTGTGATTGTTGTTTTTGCTTTCTTTGAATTTGATTCAGGTAAAGTTATCCTAAAGAGTCATGCTTCTTCTAGAGAAGTTATTCATCTGTACCTCTTGAGTACATATACAAGAAAGGCACTGGATTTTTCCTCGTCGAGTATATCTATTAGTATTCTTTGTGTTCACAGGTGTTGAGGCCATTTTGTAACCCACTTTGAAGGTTTTCTGTGTGAAAATCCGTCCATGTACACACTTGTAATTTATTACCATTGATTCCTTCGGTTTTACGTTTTGTTAGCCTTTTTGATTCCATTTGAGGTGATTATATTAGTGTTTTTTATAGTTTTTATTTTTCACTAAGCTCCCATGTTTCTTCCTGAACTAAATTGTTTTTGTCTTAGTTGATACTTAGTCTTGACGGCAGCCACATTGGTTTGTTCTCCATTTGATTGTGGTGCTTATATTGAATGGAATCGTACATTTTTGATTGTGAATTGAAGCACTTTTCCAGAATGGGAAACACTGTGTTATAAAGCAACCAAATGTTATCGTTTGAACGAATCTGTACGTGATCTATCCAGCAAGGATAGAATAGTACTTATTTGTGGCGCTTGGTAATTTTTTTGCATCCTTTATCAACTTCTTTATATATTGTAATGTGGATTTATGTACTGACTGAACAATTATTGATTGAATAACTGTGCGGTAATATTTGTTTAGGTAATTATGTACATTTATATTTATAATGAAATCTAGAACCGTCATTTGCCCAATCACCTTGTTTGCGTTTCAAATGGGCAATAGCGCGTATCTAACCTACCTAGACAGTTATTCTTCAGTCCAAACGTTAGCTTTGATTCTACAAAAGATACTTTATCTTTCGATCAATTTCCTCTGTTTGACGCAAGTAAAACATCGTTGTGACGAACCTACATGCTATTCCCCTGTCGATGATGGGATGAATTGTGACAACAGCAACGAGTGGTATTACATTGTGTGCACTGGACTCACATCGACTGTATATAAAAGGTGCCGTAAGCCACTATCACGTTGGCTGTGCAAAGCATGTTGTTTTATAAAGTCTCTACGGATTCTCGAGGCAATTTAACTGTTGAATATAGCTAGAAAGTTGCTTTCAGGTAAGCAAGCGGCAGAAGATGTGCAGAATTCAGCTGTTGAGGAAACGGCGGGAGTTATCATGAGCCCAGCTTTGGATTTGAATAGGACCAATACGGTAGACTCCATTAGAAAAGCGGATAACAAGCATAACGATATAGGCGTTTTTACAAGGAAAACGGAAAAGCAAGCTGAGAAGAAACAAATTATAGGCTGCGCAAAAGTATGTGAATTTTCGGTTTCAGTTCCGGATTCGCATACCAACGCAAAACAGACTATGGGAAAGCCAAGTCTGAGAGGTGTAGAGGATGTGATCAAGAGAAAACATGAGGTGAATGATTGGCTTATAGTAACACCCAGAAAAAGGAGAAGATTCTAGAAATTAAAATTCCACGTGTTAAGACGGACTTCGCCTACAGGTCAATAATTTTTCATAAGTTAAGAGTATCTTTCGAGAAGAAACCAAAGGCTGGATTTGATCACAACATCAGCCGCATTAAGTCCTTAGTAAGAAAGCTGCTCCCAGAAACAGTTTCAAGACTTAGCATCTGTAAAGCTTTATAGAAAAGGAAAAAGGTGGTTTCTGAAAATACTCAGAAAAGCCTCCTCTTGAAAGTTACCTATGTTTCGGCTGAAGAAAGAAACCTGATACTCAAGCAAACTTATTGGATCTGGAATATATTTCCGTGAGGATCTCAGCCTGGTCAATTGTATTAAGAGATGGTCGGTAAAATGGACAACTTTCGAAGAATCTCATAAACGAAAATATTGTAAGAACCCTCGATGTAGTCTAGATGAAGGCCTCATTATCCTTGTCATTAGCTTCTTTAATGGCTTTGGATGTGACCGACATTCCGGAAACTGCGTCTGTCAGTTTTTATGCGAATCTCAGCCTCACCATCTTCGGCCGCTACAAGCACCTCCTCTTTTTGTTTTGCATGGGAAATAATTTTTCTTGAGAGGGTATATGCCCATCTCTGTTGACGGTTAGTTATAAACATAGGGGTACTCTTCTTGGATCAAGAACTATCTGTAGTGGTTTATGATCTATCAATAAGGTGAACTGTCTGCCAAACAGCATCTTGTAGAACTTTCTTGCAGTGAATATAATAGAGAGAGCTTCTTTCTCTATCTGACTGTAGTTCCTTTCTGTCATAGTCAGCAATCGTGCTGCGTGGGCGATTAGCTTCCCAGACACATCAGGGTAGGCATATGAAATTGCTGCTCCGCTTCCGTACTTTGATGCATCTGTTGAGACTACAATTGGAAGATCTGGATCATAGTGTTTAGGCAGAAGGTTTGTTGATAAGAGCTGTTTTAGGTTGAGGAATGCTTCTTGGCATTTAACTGACCAGAACCATGTGGTATCTTTTTTCAGTAACCCATTAAGAGGAGCACAGAGGCGGTGCAGATCTGGAAGAAAAACGCCATGATGACTAACCATTCCCAAGAAGAAATGTTGAGTCGGTACATCAGTCGGGAGATGCATGGACTTGATAGCCTCGACGTTTTCAGAATCAGGTTTTTTCCCGTTTTTATCGATTATGAATCTCAAATAGCGAACTCGCTCCACGTAAAAATCACATTGTTCAGCACGTAATCTGGACACATAATCTGCTATGCGTCTGAGGACCTTATCCACCTTATTTTCTAAGTCAGCATAGTCCGTATCCATGATTAGTATGCCATCTAGATAGGCCGCGGTACCTTGTAGCTTAGTATTCATAACTTGTTTGAAGATTGAAGGAATGGTCTTTACTCCGATAAAAAGTCTGTTATATCGAAACGACCCTTTATGAGTGTTTATTTTCAAGTAACGCTTACACTTCTCCGCTACTGGAATCTGTAAATAGGCTTCTGATAGGTCCAATTTTGCAAAATACTTCACCTCCCATTAATTTTCGCAAATAAGTCTTCTGATAACGGCAAATGGTACTGATGGGCTTCAAGTGCTTGGTTCAATCCAGTCAAATATCGCGCATTTCCGGACACATCTATTTGGCTTTTTAACAATCACTATCGGTGCTGCTCAATCGGAAGATTCATTGGTTCTGTGATTCCACTTCTTTATAGGCGCCCTAATTCTTGTTCAACAACAGGAAGCGCTGCACAGGGTAACGACGTTTTGGCCTAAAAACGGAGGGGAAATCCCGGTTTAAGAATTAATGGTGCTTTTACCTTTTTACATTCCCTCTATTCTTCCGAAACACTTGACCATGTCTTTCCAGCACAATATCCCGCAGATTCTTTTCCGCTGGTTTATTGGTTCTCACGCAGCTGAATATATGGTTTATAGAATGATTTGCTAACGTAGTGTTTCTATTAGGTATAGACCCAACAATCTAGTTCTGGATTCCCAGTGAGATATCACGTTGCATTCATCTGCGCATTTTCTGTCCAACAAACCTCTCTAGCAACATTTCATTTCCCTCCAGACGCATTACAAACTAACTGGGTTGTTGGGAGCACCTGAAGTTTTTAATGTGCTTCCAGGTTCTTCGGCTAATAATTATGATGTCGAAGGCAATATCGAGGTGCGGGAGGGCACATCGTTTATTAATATCCAAGTTAACATACTTCCTTTGGCGGGAAATTCGCGCTCGGTTATGTGATGCCAATATTTTTTAGTTAATGCACCAGGCTTGCATCTCTTGACGTATGGTTTCGAAGAATATCGTTTATGGGCTCTTTTCTTCAGTTTGTTTTTTAAGGCCTTTCCATGACATTTACCGCAACAATGTCCTTTATATGGGCACAACCTTTATAGTGCCAACCTCCAATCCACACACTGAGGGTTATTAGCATTGTCCAATAGGAAGCTACACGTAGTGATTCTGCAATATTCTTCCAACATGGTTGGACAGAATATCTTCAGCTCTATCTGAGCTTCATAGAGCTTCCACGAGTTTACCCATGAACTGCCCTCACAATATAACTGTTCACGGTATCCAAAAAGATGAGTATTTCTGGGATGCAGATTCATACATTTAATGAATCGAATTTCATGAGTAAGCTGTGATATTTATACCGTCTGATGATTCCTAAGTATAATACACCGTGAATGAATGGAATTCCTTGTGTATTTCCTTTGATTGTCCTCACACAACTCACTCGACCCAAATACTGGTCCATAAGTGAATACTGGGCTGTGAATTGGACAATATTGAGCATTACTAGCTAGCATAACGAGTTCAATTACTTCCAGTTATGATGTCGGAGTCGCGATGGAACCTGCAACTGGGTAATTGAATTCGCATTCGAATTCTGAATCCTTCTGGGAGAAAAAGACGGGTTTTTACATCTTGATCATGACCAGAAATGATGTTGAAGATGATCAGATGTGGCTAATTTTCTAACATTATTGGGAAAAGTTCATACAGCTTACTAACAAATGTAGTGTTTCTGGGTAGACCTAATTCACTTTTCGATGAAACTTTCAAATAACGCTGTTAAATCATGCTAATTGTGTGAAATTCGAATGCTGTGAAAGAGTAACCTTCATTAGAATAACTAGAAATCTGGAGAATTCATTCTTGAATCGCAGGAACAGGCAGCCAACTGTAATTTCGGTGAAAAATTTCGTGTCCGTCTATATGATGGATTCACTGCAGGGATTTTCATACCGAATTCAGAAATGTTCTTTCAACATGCCAAAGCTGTGTACGTTAATTATGAGGCAGTGCATGAAACTGAGTTCCATGTT